TTTTTTTGGAAACTGCCTCACTTGAGGTAAGCTGCCTTGCCATTTCTACGTATGACAGCAGCTATTTTCTCGCTGCTTTGGTTGCTCGTGATCAGACGGGACAAGAAGTTTTGCCGAAGGCAGAACCCTCAGATGTGCAGAAGGACCTGATGCTGTGGCAAAGCAATGGCCTCAAACTTTGGAAAGGGCACCACACCTTCTCGAAGAATGGCTCACTCTTTTCTTTAGAGCAAATCGTGGCTACTGTCAATGGATTCCTGGCTTTGGCTAGATGCACCGGGGGAGTTGCGTTGCTTGAGATTCACTTGGAAGACCTGCCTGACAGCAGCTTGGACAGTGTGGATAAGTCGCAGGTGGAGGCACTAAGTGAAATGCCTGAAGGAAAACCGCAATGTGAGCGCTCAACTGCCGTTGACCACGAGAACATCCATGCTTCCGCGGATCACAGGCCAGTCTTGTTAGCGGGATGCGTTGGGTGCAGAGTACCCAGTTGGGTTGTTTGAGATTGGGATGTCTAATCATCCAGATGTCTAATCATCATACTGTATGTACAGAATATTGATTGATTCGACATGGGACGACAAGTGGTTTGATGTGCTTGATGGATTTCCATTCTTTTTTAAATCTGCATCCGGATGACTCGGTTAAAGGGACACAAGCTCTCAACTCTCAACAAAGTCATTGGCTCAGTGTTCAACGTTCCATCCTTGGGAACTCCACAGGAGCAACATCCAGAGCCGGATCATGTACAGCAAATCGCTAGATTCTAGACTCTAGACCCGCTTCAGATGAAGTTATCACAACTTTTCAAGTCCTTATTTTTGAAGTAAACTTTGCAAGGCACCAGCTGAGTCGTGAAGTTCTTTTTGTCGGCTGTTGATTTCTATTGAAACTCATTGATGCTCGTTTACGACAACATCAATGCCTTAAACTCTTGGCCTGCAGAATAATCTGGAGATTTTTCAATCCATAGATCTGTTTATATGTTTACATATTCGTCTATGTACAGGGCAATTATCAGTATCCATAGGTCAGCCTTGACAGCAGTGTTACCAAGTGAGGTTGTAGGTGAAAGCTCAAGCTATCCATGCATCCACAGTTTCTTCCCTTCCTCAATCCACTGTACCATGTATCTACTGATCCACATGTTTATCTTTGCGTGTGCTCTACCATATCCCTGGATCTCTATCTAGGTGTATTGCTTTTGTGTCTTCTAACAACATCCCTATTTAACTTCTAACCGTTTATCTATCTATTTATTTATCTCTCCGTCTTGCCAAGTATTGCTACATTGAGTGCAACAACCGAGCTTTTGTTCACTGACACCGCAGGGACAGCCAGTCGAACCCGCAAGAGAGCAAAACAAAGCCAAAGGCACACACAGAGCCTTGGTCCTCTTCGCAGGGGAAGGGAAGGAGGGCTTAAGATGCTGTCAAGTTTAGATACAGCATACTGTTGGAAGTGAATATTCCCAGTTCCATCATCCTGCAAGTGTTTTTGGATGTGCCCCGGTTGAATTCGATGCTATTCGCTGTTTCAAGTGGTTGTCTCGGTCATGGAAGCACCGCAAAGGATCCCAGCGTAGCAGGGAATGCATTTAGATGGGTCAGTTTGATGGTCCACTTCCCTTGGAGTCTTCCTTTGGGTGCCGCTTGGTTGAAGCAGGTTTTTTTTGTCTAAAGATCTGCATGCCTGGAAAGCCAGTTTCTTTTTCCTCCCAGGAGCTGACCTTTCGCATCACGCTTCTGGCAGAGACTCTGTCAAGTTTGAAGGCATTTGCGCACTCAAAGGCCGTCAAGGAGATCGCCATTCTGGAGAGCAAGCGGGACCATTCGCCTCAGAAAGTTTTCGTTTGGCAGCTCGAACCAAAGGATCCGGCTCAGAAGCCTCCAAAGGATGCAGGTGAGAGCCCTTCCGACCAGCGAAAGGATGGGGTGACAGAAGCGTTGTTGAAGTCCACTACTTATCAGTTTGGCAAAGATCAGCCAGAACTCACCACACTATGCTGCTATGAAGGTGGACACGCCTTTCTAGTCGGAAATGACCATGGAGAGGTCTTTGTTCTTTGGCATGGGCAGAGCAGCCTGGAACTCATTGTCAGAGCATCTTTACAAGCGCAAACAAGCGGAATCCTTGCTTTGAGCTGGGCAGAGGGAGTCTTAGCATCTTCTGGAACTTCTGGCCGCATACATCTCGCAGACCTTCCTGAGAACCAATCGACCTCACAGTCCATCAAGTCAAGCCATGCAAGGGAAATGGCCCCTTGGGTGTTCTTTTGTTATGGAATGTTCATTTGTACTCAATTCTCGAGCCATTCCAAGAAGCACGATATGGACCAAAAGTTTGGCCATAGACAGCGCGTGAAAGATCAGGATAGATCAGGTATTGGAGTCAGATACTTTATCGAATCAGGCATAATTTTGGTTGAAACTAGAAATGGCAAAAGAACAGAGTGCACGGATACAATTCAAGGATGCATTTACGTATGTATTTGATTGAATCTATTTGATGTGACTTGCCAGTACAATTAGGGCCACGTCGCTGAGCAACCGAAGACAGTTCACATCGGAGAGTACATCTGTCCCCCAGAAATTGCAGACATGTTTCAAGAATCGATCCCAAAGGTTGATCCCACAGAAGATCTAATGTTTTTGGAGTATTCATTTGCTATTGTAATTAAAGGTCCAATATAATACATTTGCTGATGTAATGATATAGGCGGAGTCCAAGAGAGAGCTTCGAACATAAAGCACCTCAACGATTCACTCTTGAGCTTCGATCTCTTGAGCAATGACTCACCGAATTGAATGATTCACCGTCCGAGTCTTGCAATTTCGCACGAAGGAAGTCACTCACTTGATCATCTCTTCAGGCTCAATTTCGGCCCCTCATTCCTCTCAGCCTGGGACACGCCACCAGCACATGCCACCAGTAGCAGACGGCCTCCAGTCCAGTTTACTTTCCCAAGGGCAAGCATGGCCCAGGATGAGCATATGAAAGTCTCAAAACTCTGTTGAGAACTCGCAACTGTAACACGGATGTGCGTGCGATTCTAATTTTCCAAGACGCAAGCAGTCAGAATAAACATCGGAAGCTGGATTCAGGGAGATTTTGGAGTAAGCTTTAACCGTTCAGATTCCTATCAGATTGTGGGTAAAAGATTCGGTTCTTTCTTTACCAAGAAGATTCTTGCAACGTCTTGCCACAATTCTTGCGTCTTGCCACACAGCCACACGAGTTTCTGAGTGCTGACAAAAGTACCATTGACACAGTCTCAAGCGCTTTACAGGGATAGGTTGGTTGGACAGCTTTCCGTTAAAGTCTCCTGGACTGATCCACACAGACGTCAGCCGACGTGGAACCCTGCAGAGAGGGGCAAGACATTCGAGTTGAACTCCATTCACATGTTGAAACATGAACCGAAGCAACCGGTTCCTCCAGTTCTCATCCAACATGTTCTCTACTAAAATGTGCGGGCGCTGCAGGAGCAAGACAGAAGTGCAGTTCGCAACAGTTCACAACAGAGAGAAGACGCAAACAATTGAACAATTTGCAGGTGCAACATGTGTTTTATCCAACAGTTCTTGGACCTGGATCCAGTCCAATGGGCTTCCAAGACTGGGGCAAGCACTGAAGCCAAGTCACCAGCACGAAGTGTAGGATTAGACATGATCCATTGAGTCTACCCAAAGATGTTGAGTGTCCACTTTGCCATGAATGTTCTGCCATGTGTAGTCGATCTGTGGTTTCTGGACCAGTTGTGTGTTGGAGTTGATCAGCTCAACGAGTGCAAAACAATTCTAAAGCAGGAATCACAAGTGCCAAGATTTTCGTTCTAAGTTGTACTGTGAAACAGGTGATGTTTGATCTGGCAGATTGTTTGTGATTCGGGCACGTGGGGTTGGAATGCCCAATAATGTCCACTGCCACTAAACCAGAAAAACCAGGTGTACCACGAACCATATGCAACGATGCAGCATATGCCATTCCATGTCTTGAATTTCTTGCAAGACATCGCCAGTCACTCAAAATCACAGCAGTGCCCAGGGCAAGAGCATGCGGTCCCGGGACAGCCTGAGGTCGCGTCCGCCGCCAACTTGGGGGATAGCATGCTGCTCTTGGGCATGAACGGTCTCAAATGCATCTCGTGGGACGACCACGCCCAGGCGGGCTTTGACCACACGGCCACGAAGCCGACGCGTTTGATGGAAAATGCCAAACGGTTCGGCCTTGAGTCCCTAGTAGCGTCCTTGCTCCTAGTAGCGATGCCAGGAGCGCCTAGCTTGCTCCTAGTAGCGATGCCCTTTGCTCCTAGTAGCGTCCTTGCTCCTAGGTCTTTTTTTTCCTCCGGAAACGAAGTATGCAATCCACAACTTGTCTTCAATGAGTTCGCCTCTCGACATCCAGTATCACACACGCAGCCGGAGGAAGATTCACATGCCCAAACCGCTGCAAGTAAAAAGCCGAATAGACATCCTAAGCTCCAGATCCTGTTGATTTTGTTTCATGCAAATCAACATTGTTGTGTGATGTCTGACCCACTTGCGTCGCCCACTCGGTTTGCTCCTTGGGGCCTGGCACTTGTGTGTTTTGTAAACTTGAATTTTACAAAACAAGATAAACAAGTATCCTGCCACACTGCCAACACTGTTGGCAGTAACCTGTTTATCCTGGCACTGTGTTGGGAGTGCCTTGTAAATTGTGTTTTGTACACGGGGCAATGTCTTCCCTCTCTTTCTGCGTCTCTTTCGATGCCAACATCAAAACAACACATGAACTCTTTCGGATTTGTTCAGCATCGGCTTTAGATAGCGTCACGTTTATGGAAAGAGGAGCATGCAGACTCATGCACAAACTCTGGCGGTTGTACAAAAGACCCGCCTTGTCCTGATTCACTGAAGTGTCACTACCTCAGGCTTGAAAAAAAAACACATTGGGAAACTTGCGTTACAGAATCATATTGTAGTGCTGCTGATGCTGCTTTATCCACTTGCTGTTTTGCCCGTCCTTTTTGTGAAATCGACTGCCACAAAGGCACCAAAAGGACACCTGCATTTTCAGCTTTTTCTGTTCTCATGGTTGGCCGGAGGAGCAGTCTCTCATGCGCGCCAAAGCAGACCTTAAAGAAAGGCTCACTAACTAACAATGTAGCGCAGGCTCAGCGGAAGCCCAAGCAGCGTGCGGGTACCTTTCGGCGCAAGCAGCTGCGCAAGCTTTGTGTCACATCCATTACAAGCAGAAAGGAAAAAACCGACCTCATGTGGGTTTTGATTTCGAAGGCAGTACTATGCAACGCTTCTTAGTTTTGACGTTGTCAAGATCCTTTTTTGCGTGGCAATGCTCGTTTCTCGTGGCAATGCCCTGAAAACACCTTGGCAACATCCATATCATTTGGACGTTGTAGGGCCGAATCAAATCATTGTATATTCATGGTATGTCCCTGCCATTTTCAACATGCTCAATAGCTGGCCCTTGCCTAACAACCCTTCTTTCCTGCCTCACCCACTGTGCAAACCTCTCTGATCAAGCTTGGAAAATCTTGGAAAATCTTGGAAACCTGATGGAACAAACCTTTGAGACAAGAGGCGAGCAACGACGTCGGACGGGCCCGCTCCCGATTCTTTCCCTGCGAGGTCCTTCCGCGGCTCGCGCGGTCGGACAAGGGTGCTGCACCACCGGACTCTTCAACAGTGGCGACCTGCTTTTGTGGATCTGGCGATTCTCCGGCTTTCTTTGAAATGGTGGTGTTTTCAGACAGCAGGCTTTCTCACCATTACTCAGAGGGTCCAGTTGGAGAGGATCAGCTCGAAGTGCATCTGAAGGCTGTGCAAATGAGGCTCGAAGAGAACAACAAGAGTCACAAGAGTACTAAGAGCCAATGTCAAGAAGAACGCTCTTCTTCAGAGGAAGCCCTTTCGATCACATCCTCGGTGGAACCCACCAGCTTCTACAGCCAGATGACACAGCTCAGCTTCTCTGGTCCTTCGAACTCGAAGAAGGTGCCCTTTGGGGGATTTCTCGCAGCGGCCACGGTGGACGGCACCGTCTACGTGTGGCCCCAGAACCTAACTGCTGCGGAGCTCCTCGGCGCGAACGTGCGAAGGTGGCAAAAGCTTTTTGGCACGGCTTGTTACAGAACGTTGATAGGGACAGCGATGTCTCACTTTTTGTTTTGAACCCCATTAGTTGCTGGGTGCGAGTGCGATCTGCAACTGCTCCATCCAGAATCAGTCTTGACTTTTTTTGGACTCAGGGTTTGGCATGGCTCCTGTTTTAGGTAGTCTTTCACTTACCAGAGGAAAACGTGGCCGCAGCGCAGCCTTTCTGAAAGCTGAGGAAGGAGAAGGCTGCAGAGTCCGGAGCATCGTTCCTCGGCGGATTCCACCGGAGGTGGACATACCACCGGGTGCACCCACGAACCTTCCTCACCCACATCCTTTGATCCGTTGTCGACGAGTGACTAGCCTGAGAATGCCTAAGCCCTTCTTTGTTGAATAGTTTATCAATGACTCGAGTCATCGCCGCATTGAAAAGGGGAGCAAGTGACAAACTGTTGCACAATCGAACACAAAAGACAATGTGAAGGAATCTCCTTGTGTCTTGTTGTCCTGTACCTCAATTGAGTTTAAGTTGAGTGCAATAAAGAACCAAGGAACACCACCGTGAAACAACAAACATATCGAGATCTGCGATCCGTGTTGAAAAAGTGGAGAGGTGTATTTGTTAGCCTCAGAGAGTTAAGGCGTCCGTGCCTCTCTCTATTCTTTGCCCGCCCATGCCACTGAGAAAAAAATACTTCCTAACTTCCTAACTTGCTTACTACCCTCGTTGGAAGCAACCAGTCAGGGTGACCCCATAGAGTGTGCATTGAAGTTGTTGCAAGAACTGCCTGTTCAAAGCATGGGCAAGAGTAAGAGACCTTTAAAGCAACTTCTCATGCACCTCAACCGAGGAAGATGGAGAAGAAGAACCAGCCGCATCAGCTTCGTTGTGATGATACCAAGATCTTCTCAAGCTCTGTGGAAGCGATATGTTGCTTCATCTGGATTTCCGGTGTTTTTCTTTCCAATCTCCTTTGGTCAGGGTGTGGCCGTTCGAGGAAAGTATTCATACCCCCAACACATAACCAGCATCATTTTTGAAAGAAGTATTATATAGAGTGAAGTTGGACCCTGCTTTTGCGCTTGTATGTACGTCCAAAGTCATGAAACATGAGTGCCAGTCATGCAGTTGGTCCAGAGTGTGAGCAGTGTCTAATGGTCAGAAGCCTTCTTCCCAACGGTTTGCAAGGGAATGTCCGGCTTGTCGTTCGTTTGCAACGTTCGGTCTTCGCTTTCCGGCTTGGCACGTCGTTCGGACCCAAATCCGGGGGCGATTCCTCCACAGTCATCGGCTGGAGACCCCATGACCCTGTGAGAATATTGGAGGGCGGAGATGAGGGCGGGGCAAACGAATTGTCATAGATATCGAATTTCGATCGGCAGTGGCACCTGCTTGATTTGATGGACTTTTTCTTGCTCTATCATCAGCAGAGTCTCACAAGCAGAATGCGTTGATCAGGGCACGGTACTTTCTGAAACCTAATTGAACATCAATACAAACACACTTGGAATTCCGAAGTAGCAAGCGTGAACTGATGGACTGATGGCTTCAACTCACGATCTAAGTTCCGCCAAGCTGCTCTTATTCCCTTGTTTTCCACTAATCCATCAAACTACCGACCTGTGCTGAACTGCATGGACTGGCTTTGTAGCCACAGTTCTCCGGCTCTGAGGTTGGCATTGGACAGACCAGCATTTGTTGCTCTTCACATCTTGCATGTCAGCCGTCTATCAATGGACTTTTACAGTCGAAGAGGGCAAGCTGTCCACGAGGCCGAAAGACCTTTGCTCCGGACGTTTCGTTCGGAACGCGTTCAGTGCACGAAAGAAAGGAGAACATCGAAGAAAAACAACATAGCGTGACAGTTGATTGTTACAGTGCTGTAACACAGTGGTAGATTCCAGGCCTTAATGTGCTTGTGCGTTCTTTAATCGTTGCGTACAGTTACAGTTGATTCTGAACCTGACATAGCATATGACCCGGAACTTTGATTCTGAAGGCCTGACAAGAGCGAAGTGGGGGTGCATTGCTCGGAAGTCACCTCCATTTGCTCATACGGCGGATTCTCCCAAGAAGGACTTGTCGCATCCTCTGCGATGGAGATTCAGGTCTGGATGTTGCAGGGAAACACTCGAAAGCAACTGCCTCCATGCCTCTTGGGTTCTGCGAAGCGGATCTGTTGAGTTGTGCTGTTGGTGGGGAGTTGTTCGACAACATTTGACGATGCATTTTCTTCAGAGGTCTCAGGCGACATGCTCCAAACTGGGGAGGATTGCTCCGTGAGCGTGTCGATGGCCTCCTACGTACTAGCGATGGCCTCCAACCTAATAGCAATGGCCTCCAACCTAGTAGCGATGCCCAAAAAATCCGAAATGTGCTGCATCGAAGGAGGATCACATGATCAACCCATGGTCGTCACCGAGGCTTGAGGAAGGATTTGGACTTGACCACCTTCAGCTGCATCACCTTTGCAGGGCCCAACCTGCTGATTGCTGGAGGTCGAAAACAAGGAAAACAGCATGAACATATATGAACACATGCACAAACAACCAGCTGTTTTATTGCTTGGTTTGGGTCTGAATCAAATGTCATATGTGCTTCTTTGCTTTTCGCCTTGGAGGTAGCGATGGTTCTTTGAGCATCTTTCAGCCGCGCAAAGGCTCCTTGATTGGACTGGGGTGGCTCAATGGGTTTCTCCATTTCCGGGTTCTTAACGACTAGTGACTAGCTGCATTCCCATTGTTACATTTGTTATTGTTATGCCTCCCGTTCATATGTGTCGAAATGAAGTAATCTGGAACGCCCCCCAGTCCCGCCAAAAAGCTGAGCGACTTCCTATTAATGGTCCAACAGCTGTTCACCTTGAGCCCAACGATCCAAAAGTCACCCATGCCATTTGCCTGTGATGGTGATGTGCCTGGCTGAAAGAACTTGATTAGACATTTGTTTTCTTGACAGCTTGGCTGTCGGGCCAACAAATGAACGGCATTCAGTCTGTGAGCTTCCTCTCCAAACTCAATCTCTATGTGACAATGGAGATGTATGTTTTCGGGTGCGTATTTTTCGGTCAATTCAACCTGCTATTGGGGGTGAGACCATTCTTCGAGCCCTCAAGATTGTGCTCTCCTCGAGGTGTGGAGATGTATCGACTGGATCTTTGCCATCATGATGTGTTTCTTGGAGTAGGTAGATGGGTTTGATCCGCCATTGGACCGAACGGTCAGGTGAGTCTCATCGTATATATATATATATATACATGTATGTCCGAGATTTAGTCTTAGGTGCTTTTTCCCCAAACAGTTTACTGTTGGGGGTTCTCAATGCTTTAAAGAATGGTCGCTTTGGTGCTGGATGGTCTGGTCGGGTTCCCGGCCGGCTTGTCTCCCACTTCCTTTCATTTGTCTCCCAGTTCTTTTCATTTGTCTCCCAGGCTGGGTGCTTGTGGTCGGGTTCCCGGCTGGCTTGTCTCCCACTTCCTTTCATTTGTCTCCCACTTCTTTTCAATTGTCTCCCAGTTCTTTTCACTTGTCTCCCAGGCTGGGTGCTTGTGGTCGGGTTGGTGGCTGGCTTGTCTCCCACTTCCTGTCATTGGTCTCCCAGTTCTTTTCATTTGTCTCCCAGGCCACTTCCTTTCATTTGTCTCCAACTTCTTTTCATTGTCTCCCAGGCTGGTGCTTGTGGTCGGGTTCCCGGCCGGCTTGTCTCCCACTTCCTTTCATTTGTCTCCCACTTCTTTTCATTTGTCTCCCAGGCTGGGTGGTCGGGTTCCCGGCCGGCTTGTCTCCCACTTCCTTTCATTTGTTTCCCACTTCTTTTCTGCTTGTGGTCGGGTTCCCGGCCGCGTTGTCTCCCACTTCCTCTTATTTGTCTCCCACTTCTTTTCATTTGTCTCCCAGGCTGGGTGCTTGTGGTCGGGTTCCCGGCCGGCTTGTCTCCCACTTGCTTTCATTTGTCTCCCGGTTCTTTTCATTTTTGTCGGGTTCCCGGCCGGCTTGTCTCCCACTTCCTTGAATGTGTCTCCCACTTCTTTTCATTTGTCTCTCAGGCTGGGTGCTTGTGGTCCGGTTCCCGGCTGGCTTGTCTCCCACTTCCTTGCATTTCTCCCATTTCCTTTTATTTGTCTCCCGCTTCTTTTCATTTGTCTCCCAGGCTGGGTGCTTGTAGCCCGGTTTCCGGGCGGCTTGTCTCCCACTTCCTTGCATTTGTCTTCCACTTTTTCCCCAAACAGTTTACTGTTAGGGGTTCTCAATTCTTTCTTAAGACGTGTCCGCCCTTTGTGTCACTGCTGGTGTCCGCCCATTTCCACTGGCCATGTAACATTTCTATTCATCCGTCTCCCAGGTCTGTCACTGTTGGTGCCCGCCCTTTTCCGCTGGCCATGCAGCATTTCTATTCATGTGTCTCCCAGGTCTGTCACTGATGGTGTCCGCCCATTTCCGCTGGTCGCGTAGCATTTCTTTTCATTTGTCTCCCAGGTCTGTCACTGCTGGCGATGCAACATTTCTATTCATTTGTCTCCCAGGTCTGTCACTTGCGGTGTCCACCCTTTTCCGCTGGGGATGCAACATTTCTATTCATGTGTTTCCCAAGTCTGTCACTGCTAATGTCCGCCCTTTTCTGTTGGCCATGCAGCATTTCTGTTCATTTGTCTCCCAGGCCTATCACTGTCTATCACTGGTGGTGTCCGCCCTTTTCTGCTGGCCATGTAGCATTTCTATTCATTTGTCTGCTGTCACTGCTGGTGTCCGCCCCTTTCTCCTGGCCATGTAGCATTTCCATTCATTTGTCTCCCAGGTCTGTCACTGCTGGCGTCCGCCCCTTTCTG